GCAGGAATGGTTGGGGAAATTGGTGTGGGGAGGTGAATGCCAGCTGAGTTCGAAGGCAGATGAACCCTAATGGGGCAAAAATTAGGAGTGCGAGACTCTCCATGCCAAAGGATGGCCCAAAACACAGTGTGTAAAGCAGGGAATCAGGAAACTTCTAGCCCTCTAGTAAGACTGTGGGGAAGGGTAGAGCATGATGGGATTGCCTGGGATAGGTGCTGGGCTGGTGCTAGGTTACACTGGGGGCAAGATGGCCTAGAAATTCCTTGGATTAAAAGTCACAAACTATGAAAAGCGCAGATATGAATTGCATACAGCCAACATTAAAATACACTACCATTTGGTAGTAAGTAAAAAGAAAAAAAAAAGGAAAACAAAATTCTCTTTTGACGGGCCCCCTAGAGTCACATCAATATTAACTTGAGAAGAAGGCAGGTAAATTTTAAAATTTGAAATAACTTTAATATGTTTATATTTATGCTTGTCATGCATTAATGGGAAGCTTCTTCTTCAGACCATTGACCTCGTTGGTCCTAACTACCTATGTCAGATGGAGGTAAATGGACAGTCCAGATTACTTTGGGTCTGTGCTGACCAGTTTACCAGGGCAAGATTTATTAAAGGCTTGAGAGAAATAACTCTGGAAAAGTTTGATAAACACAGCTCTTTTTCAGGAGAGCCATTGAGCTATGTAAATTAATGAGGCAGTGCACAATTACTGCGGGAGAAAATAAGAAATGTGGCCCAAGCCAGGAGAAGAAACACTGCAGCAGTTATATGCAACGTAATTAAATAAATGCACAGAAGGAAATGAATAAAATTAAACATGTGGTATCTCTTCCAAAAGAATCTGCTTTCCAAATGGCCATAAAGAAACAATTTTGTGCCGGTGTGGAATTTCATTTGTTTTCATTAACACCTCAGATTTGCAGCCACAGAGAAAAAAGAGACGCCGGGATGAGAACAACTTGGAGCCCTCAGAGCACGTCTGGAAACGCGGTCCTCTCTGCTGGTCCCATCATTACGCGGAGCGGTAGGAGTGCCCTTTTAAATGTCGGAATAGTTGGTTCCAGAATGGCTCCTTAACCTGGCTTCCAAGGAGAACTCACAACAGTTCCTAAGCAGCACTAATTAACTGTGAGACAAGATAAACAGCAAAGCCACTTTAATTTCACAGTAGCTTCCTGTTTGGTCGATTTTCATACAAAGGGCTATTTTGTCCTTAACCATATTTGCCTTTTCACACACATACACCATGATGGACATGTTCAGGGATCCCTATGGATCACTCTCCTCCCCTGCCTTGCTCTGTGCACAGGAGGACTGAAGACCCAGAACTCGTGCTGGCTCCCTCCCCATCTATTGCAGTTCCCAGTAGGGCTTGTCCAGTAGGTGGTGCTATCGTTGAGCTAGAGGGTACAGAAGTGTGAAGCCCACACCTCTCTGTCTACAATTCTGGAACGCTACTCTCTCTGGGTTCTGGAAAACCTCCCCTTAACCTATAGCCCAGGTGTCTTGACTTTCTCTTGTGAATTCATTACATCTTTGTGAGTAGCCATAGTCCTCTAGTTGTATCATTTGTTTCATTTCAGAAACCGGTATATTACATATCTCCACCAGTATTCACTCATGTTGGTGCACATGGGCACTGATGTTAGAATAAACATACACACACACACTCCTAAACATAACACATATATTCTCATGTATATAAATTTCTGTATACACACATGCACACCCTCTTAATAGAAATATAGGTTTGAATTAGTGCAAACCCCAGAAATATACAGCATCAGCTGGGTAAAAGGCAGTGTAAACAACGTGAAACTGAAGTTCTAGGTCTAACTTTTGTTCTAACAAGCTATGAAAAACTGGTTCTAGATCTACCTTTTCTTCTCATTACTCATATGGTTTGGGGTTTCTATTTCTTTGGGCAGATATTACTTCATTTGTAAAATGAGGCTTTACAAAAGTGTTTCAGACTCTTGCTAGGAATATGGGCCCCCCATGGTCAACAACAGATCCAGATTTCATAAGCAGCTTGGAAAAATGTATGGATGTAGAAATGGAGGATGGAGAAATGGAGACAAGATTGCAGCATGGCCACACTCCCCTGGGGGTTGGGAGAAGAGCTTTCTCTCTCTCCCTTTTCTTCTTTCCCCTCTTTGTTTCTCTGTCTCTAGCTAACACACTTGTCCCCAGCAATCAAAAAATAAGGCTCCTTTTAAATGTACAATTCTAAATTTGTCTCAAAAAAAAAAAAAAGAAAAAAGAGAGAGGGAGAGAATAATTCTGATTTAGATTATATGCTAGCATGAGGGAACTTCAGAAAGTTTGTGGAAAACAAGGAATTAAATATGAGGGTTTTTTTTTTTTGGTGTGAAAAAAGTCTTGAAACCCATACATAGATTTTTCATAATATACTTTTCATGTGAAAACTTCAAAGACCCCACTTGTTATGTTTCTTTTTTCTTATATGTGCAGTAAGGCTGTTAAAACGAGATTTTTCTTTACTTTTTTTCCCACTGTGCTGATCCCATAGTGAAACGGAAGTTTTGCCTGAAGCTGTAAGATAATAATTAAGCAAAAGGTGGTTTTTGCCTAAAAAATCCAATTTCTTCAATTATTCACTTGTTTGTTTGTGTAGACATAGCATTATTTATAAACCAACTAATAGGTATTTAAATAATGCAGAAACTTATTAAACATCAAACTTAGTCCACAGTCCTTGTGGGTTTGTTATGTGTTTTGAATGATTTGAAAAGGACTGTTTTGTGGTTTATGAAAGGCCCAGTTCTTATCCCTATCTGTCAGAAATAGTTCACAGACATATCAGATAGAAATTCAACTTTTGTTACTGATTATTAGGAATGCTTCTGGGTAGCACAATAGAAAATATTTTTCTTTCTATAGAGCATATCTCCAGTTTGTTTGCTATGAGAGAAGAACTTTGAAAACAGCATCTTCTCTGTCCTTCTTGGGTAGACATCTTTTACTTCTTTTTTTTTTTTTCTTAAGAGAGATTTTTGCTATAGGGTACATGCACTTGGTGGAGAGACGGAGAGAAAGGGAGAAATCACCCCCCCAGGGGAATGGCCACACTGCAATCCCTTCTTCTCCACTCTCCTCTCAGAATCTTGGGCATGGATGCACACATGCCCAGTGCGTTTCAAGCCACTGGGTGTGGGAGTTTAGCCACAGTCGACCATATGGGAGTCCAACACCTTAACCATCAAGCCACCTGATGGCCTTAATATCTTTTATTTGCTAATAACCTCTTTGCTTCCTTCTTACCTGGGCCAAACCAAATTTAAATATTAAATTTAAATAATTCGTAGTGTAATAATTTTAAGTAATTTTAAATAATTTGTTAATGTAATATCATTTTTACAAAGACATAAAAAGTTGCTAAGAACTCAAATGAAGTTTACAGAGTAGAATTTTCTACTTCTAGGAGAGCTAACCAGCTCTCCATATTTGTTCATTTGATCCATTCACCCAGTCACCCAAAATGTCTCTGTTAAAAGTTCAAGGAGCCAGCACAAAGGTGTGATGTCATGCCTAGATTTCTGCCTTTCTGCTTTGTTGCCTGTTTCTACTGTAAGGATGTCATTTATTTCCCCAATGCTCCAAGATTGTCTCTGAGTCACTTTAGGTCTCTTCACCAACAAAGCCTTGAAAGGATCAAATTCAGACCTCTGCACCCCCCTTGAGTCCTCTCTCATTCTCTTTGATTTTTTTTTTTAAGAGGTTTTCGCTATAGGGCGCGCGCACTCGCCAGACAGACAGAGAGAGACAGAGAGATAGAAAGCGAGAAATCACCCCCCAGGGGGGTATGGCCACGCCACAATCGCTTCTCCTCCATTCTCCTCTCAGGATCTTGGGCACGCACGCACACACGCCCAGCGTGAGTTTAAGCTACATAATCTGGGACTTGAACCACAGTTGACTACGTGGGAATCCAGCAACATAGCCATTACGCTAACTGCTGGTCCCTCTCTTTGAATTTTTTAAAAAATAATTTTGATAAACTATTATGGGGTGGTTGACACTTTTAGTAATGATAACTTCACTGCTTATGTGGTTATCAGTAGCAATCTGGACAGTAAGAAGGAGGTTTCTACTTTTTATAGAAACATTTTTTATATCAATTAAGTATGATTTTTAAAAAAGAAAAAGAAAACCTTAAATGTTAACATTGTAAATACTTTATCATCTATATGAAATATATATATTATGGGGTGGTTGACACTTTTAGTAATGATAACTTCACTGCTTATGTGGTTATCAGTAGCAATCTGGACAGTAAGAAGGAGGTTTCTACTTTTTATAGAAACATTTTTTATATCAATTAAGTATGATTTTTAAAAAAGAAAAAGAAAACCTTAAATGTTAACATTGTAAATACTTTATCATCTATATGAAATATATATATACACCCATATATATATACATATATTATTTTTTTTTTTTTTCTTTTTAGAGATAGAGATTTTTCTATAGGGCATGTGCACTTGCCAGAGATACAGGGACAGATAGAGAGAAAGAAAGTAAGAAATCAGTCCCCGGGGAGGTTGGCCACACCCCAGTCTCTTCTCCTTTATTCCCCTCTTGGAATTTTGGGCATGCACACACATGCACAGGTGTGAGGTTTAAGCTGTTGGGTCTGAGACCCTGGTTGGCTACATGGGAGTCGGTGATGTAACCATTACACCATCTGTTGGTCCCACAAAACATATTTTAAAAAATTCCATATGAACAGAGAATGCTGAAATCAAGCCATATCCACCTTCAGGCAAATTTTATGTAAATTTAATATCCAACTTAATAACATGGTCTACCTATTTTCTTTAGTTTCCCTTTATTTATTTATTTATTTATTTATTTATTTGGAGAGGTTTTTTTTTTGCTATAGGGTGCGTGCGCTTGCCAGACAGACAGAGAGAGACATAGAGACAGAAAGCGAGAAATCACCCCCAAGGGGGGATGGTCACGCTGCAATCCCTTCTCCTCCATTCTCCTCTCGGGATCTTGGGCACACATGCACATGCGCCCGGCGTGAGTTTTCAGCCACCGGGTCAGGGACGCGAACCGCGGTCGACTATGTGGGAGTCCAGCGACATAGCCATTACGCTAACTGCTGGTTTACGCTAACTGCTGGTTCCCAGTTTCCCTTTATGTTTACCTTGAGTCAGCTAGAATTTATCTTTCCAGGCCCGGTGGCTGATTTTATATGAACAAGTCCAATTTCAGGCTTGGTTTGTTCTCCTCAAAGCTTCCTGATATTCGGAAGTTTTTTTTCTCCTTCCTCAGTGAACCCCTCTCTCCCCCTGGACATCTGGTTTAGGTCACGTTTAATAACTTGTTAAACCTCAGAACTCCTGTTTTGTTTTGCTTTTAATGAAATCAAATCTATTCTGGTTACTTTTACCCAATGTTGTTAATTCTTTTGTTAGTTGATTCAAGAAAATTCTCTAAATGTGAAATCCTCAATATTTCTGAAGTATGCTTATTTTAAGCTTCCAAATGCTAAACTTGCTTAAATGGGAAAATGTTTATCATAGAGTACAATTGGGGAAATTTAAAGGCACTAACATCAGCAAACACTAATACCTAATGGTTTTGTTTACATTAATTCCCATAGAATAGTCTAAACCAAACTTTTTTTTTTTTTTTTTTTTTTGCTGTAGGGTATGTGCGCTCACCAGAGATAGAAAGAGAGAAAAAGACAGAGACTGAGACAGAGTGAAATGAGGAAGTAGTCCCCAAGAAGAGTGGCCATGCAGTGGTTCCTTCTCCTCCATACTTCTCTTGGGATTTTTGGACACACACACACACCCACACACACAAACAAATACATCCTTGTCATACCTTTTAAGCCACCAAGTCTGAGACTCAAAGCACCAAGTCGGCCATGTGGGATCCAGTTGCCTTAACCAGCATGCTCTAGCTGACCCTAAACAAAACTTCCGTTAAACTAGTATCTTTGAAGTTTATGGGCAGTTAATAGTCCAGTTGAGTATACTTACGTAACTCCTACATGGAGCTGGCACTCTGCTGCTAACTGTGGATGCTGCAGAGAACTGGCCACAGATTTTGCCTCCAGGGATGTTAAGAGTTCAGAGGCAGAGACAGATTATTAATGAACATAGCACGGTGAAGAGTAAAAAGTTTGGAGGCTTTAACTTGAAATATATCATCCATTTTACTGCATGGTAATTAAAGATTAGCAAAAATAATTTGGTAGTGCTAAAGGAAAAAATTCATTCTGCATGTATCTTTACATGGATGTTCATTTCCCCCCCATGTCTAGTCACTTATATCAGAGAAAAGCAGAAAATGACAATTTATCTGTCATTTCTGGCTTGCAAAAAGTGTTCTGTTGCTGCTATTACCTTTCTCCTATGGATCTTCAGATAGCTATGTATTTTTTGAAGGGCCCACCAAGGTTGCTATCTCAATTTGTTCTGTGAATTCCAGAAGACTGAAAGCACATATTAACACCAAACAAGTATGAGGAAAACACATAAGCCTATGTGACAAAAGCCTCCTGGAAAATGGCTACATCCCCTTTCTGGGGATAATTTCATTGCAATGATTCAAAAATTAGAAGATACCAGAAACAGCAAACAGAAAAAGAAAATTTTCTCTACTTTTACCCACTATCAAATACAGTTCCAAACAGTATTCAAGTAACACATGCTTTGATTTTAGCCATCTGCCAAAGATAGGACTCTTTCTTTCAGACCTAGCAGATAGTTCACCCATTTTTGAGATTCAAGTTCCTTGATTTATACTATGGGAAGTAAAAACTCTAAATAATCAAGTAGATATTCTGTATTCCTATTGAGGAAAACAGGACTCTAATTAACAATTAAGAAAATTTCATTTTACAACATATTAGGTTAGTCTTTTAAGGATAAAGAGTACCAAAAATCTCAAAGCCAACAACATTTATAAAGTTTCTTGACCAGATAGTTTAAGGGAATTTTAAAACACAAATGTAAATAAACTACCATCTCTTTAGGTTCCAAATTTGAAAGGATTTTGGCTAAGGCCATGTACCAAAGGTTCAGTACTCTAAGACAAGACTATAGTCTGCGATAGATAGGTCTCTTTCTTTCTTTCTTTCTTTCTTTCTTTCTTTCTTTCTTTCTTTCTTTCTTTCTTTCTTTCTTTCTTTCTTTCTTTCTTTCTTTCTCTCTTTCTTTCTCTCTTTCTTTCTCTCTTTCTTTCTCTCTTTCTTTCTCTCTTTCTTTCTCTCTTTCTTTCTTTCTTTTTCAGAGTTCTGGTACCTCCAGCCAGTATGACTCATTTGACAACGGGGGTAATTTTGTTCTCATACAGGAAGATTTTGTCCACAGCCAAGTCCCAGTGGGTGACACATTGTTTCTACGGAAGTACTGGTAATGGAGCAGATAGCATATTCTGACTTCTGTTAACCTTTTGATGCAGAATATTAGGGAGGTGGCTATCAAGTTTTAGCACTTCTACCTTACTTAAGACAACAGTAAGGCTTTCTATTCTTTAATAGAAATATTACTTAAAGCAACAAAATAGGTTCCTACATACAGAATAACAAAAGGAAATTTTAGTACATTACATATTCTCCTTCCATGTTCCATAGAGATGGCTTCTCATCGGAAAAGGGCACGTGGATATTTTGGGTGAATTGATCACAGCCTATTTATCCCAAATATTTCAGTGGGAAGTGTCTTTTGATCGTAATGTCTGGAAGTTAGGATTTTCCTCAGAGTGTTCTACAGTAAAATTGTGTTATTTTTCTTTTTTGTGCTACGACAACGTACTGAGCCACTCTGAATAACCCTACAAATGAGTGCTATATTAATCTTAGGCATGGTGCTTCAGGATTGGACTTCAGAGCCATCATTTCTGCTAAGATTCCTGTGTCTAGAAAGCAATGACATCAGTTATTTTATTGGTATTTCACCAGGTTTTCCCATTAAGTGTTTTAAATACTAATCCTGAAGTTTCATTACTTGAGATATTCATCTCCACAATTAAAAATATTTTTCATACTCAGCCCATTTATATAATGTTTTAGAAAAGAGACTCTGAAACTAGGCTTTAGTTTAAGCATGTTTACTTCGTCATACAAGCTGTGCCAGAAGGAAGTTTCTTCATCTGTAAAGTGGGGTAGCAATAATACCTAACCCACATAGCTATCATGAGGAGTAACGTGGTAACAAATGAAACTGCACTTTATAAACCCTATGGCATCACACACACTTACTGTGCTAGTATTTATACTCCAGAAACAAACAGTCGACTGCACACATTTTCTGGTTCGAGTATCAGGCACTCATAGGCACATCCACATCCACATAATAAAGCACAAATATGCGATCTACTAGGTGTGTATGCTCAAGGGTTAATAGTGATATGATTACACACTGGAGAACAAAAAATAGGAAACCAAGAGGATGTGTTTATCGCATCTATTATGTTTGCCAGGGAAAAGTGAAAATCCGCAGTTCAATCTTGTACTTAACAGATGCAAATAAAACTACAACTCAAGCTCAGGGGTCATGTTTTTCTTTCATTTAGTTATTAAGTGTGAATTTATTTTCTTGGAACTTAACATGATGCTTCTGCAGATTACGTTAGGCAAATTGGCAACACTTAAAATAGAGTGGCACTAAATAAGGACTATTTCTCTATAACAGAATAACAAATGGTGGGTTATAGGGCCATAAAAAATGTAATAACTGTTAACAATTACTGCCCTCACTAACCTGACTAGAGAGATAATGATGGAACAAAGTTGGTAGGAAAAAAATACAGCAGAGTATGCATATTTTTTTTCTTTTCTTTTCTTTTCTTTCTTTCTTTCTTTTTTCTTTTCTTTTCTTTTTTTTTTTGAGAGTGATTTTTGCTATAGGATGCATGCAGTAGCTTCAGAGACAGAGAGAGAGAAAATGAGAAATCACCACCTCCCGGGGGAATGGCCACGCTGCAGTCCCCTCCTCTCCATTCTCTTCTTGGGACTCTGGGCATGTACTCACACGTGCCTGGTGTGACTTTTAAGCCTCCGGGTCCCAGACTTGAACTGTTGTCGACTACATGGGAGTCCAGCGACATAACCTTTATGCCATCTGCTAGTGGCAGAATGTGAGTTTGGGGAACAGATTGATGATGAAATCCAGGACCCATGGAATAGAGCATGGGAATGCAGAATGTCATAGGATGGCTTCCATTCTTGCCTTTGCTGTGGAGCATGTGGGTGGAGGTGAGGGGAGATGTGGGGGAGAATATAGGTTTGAAGTAATTATAGAGTCAGAATAAACAAAGGTTAGTATTTTGAGAGACAACATCACTTCTCTTTTCTTGCTCTTTCCC